CCAAAATTGTGAATTTTATGGCCCCAGGGTCAGGGGTTCTGGTGTTAGGGCGGGGCTCTATCGATATTGATTACATAGTGAAAATACATTAAATCTTTGAAAATCTTTTCTTTGCTCCTGGCTTTTATGCCAATGATCCAAGTATATATATTTATGATGAAGAAAGCTGCATCTAGCAAAATGATTATTTTTTTATGCCCCCTGGTCGGGGGGGGGGGGGGGGGGGGGTCATAGTCTGAAAATAAATTAATGCTTTGAAATCTGCTCTTTTAGTATTAATCAACCATTTTATTATAAAATTTGCGAAATTTTGAAATATGTTGCCCCAGGTTCAGTGGTTCCTTTGGGATGAGGTGCACAACTGGTTATAAAGTGGAAGTGCATTTTATCTTTGTTACTTTGATCTACATCTGGGTATTAGGTAAATAGAGTAAGCATGCTAAGTTCATAATTATGATGAGCAATGGTGCCTCTTTCAAAATTGTGAATTGTGAATTATATGGCCTCTGGTTTAAAACACGAACAAATTTTAATTGTTTGAAAGTAGTTGCACGATACTCAGGTGACCTATAAGGCCCGTGGGCCTCTTGTCCTGATTTCAAATGAAAGATCTTGTGACTTCAAAGACTTGTTGTTCAACACTTATTTACAGATTCCTTTTCATTGTGGAGATATGCTGAATGGAAATATTTAGGGGCTACCCCTCCAAGTCCTTAATGGGGCCGTTTTACAAAAATTTGAAGTATACATATTGTTTAAAACATTTTTCTGACCATCTTTTGTTCAATGTTGTTTATCAAAATATTCGTCCTTTTAATTTTCTCGTAAGTTTTCTCTTTATACAAAACCTGAACCTTGGTTGGTACGTTTTCCTGTACAGCAACTTTTACTTATTTATTTGAGGCCATTAACTACAACTTTTAGAGTAGCTTCTAAAGATGAGAATTTGTTCTTGTGTGGATACTTCCAATTGGCTTCGTTTCTCAATGTCAGCCATCTTCAGTGTGTTTAATCAAAGAAAATCTTATGGTAATCTTTCTAAACAAACTCTGTTTACAACAATACAGATTGTTCCGCTTTATATGAAAGGGTAGTGACACAAACCATATGCTTATACCTGTCAGGCACCTGATTCACGCCTTACTTTAAGCTGCAAAAATGTAGCCTTCTCCGATTTTTGGGGGGGGGGGGGGGGGGGCTACAACTCCTTAGGATCTCCGTCATGCTGCAATGCGGCAGTGAATCACTCCCGCACGGATTTCGTCTCAAATCATCAGTAAACGGCTATTTTATTAACATCTTTTACCTGAACTCCAAAAAAGCAATTATGCAAGACATAAGATAAATCGATCCCCCCCCAAAAAATCACAACGACCCATATATCGGTTATTTTTCGTGTATTTTAACATCACAACTTGAATTTATCCTCCATGTTTACTGACCTTGATAGATTTTATTTTGAGACAGCCAATGAAAATTTAGTTTCTACAAGAGCGGATCTTTTAGGAATCCCTTATTTTAAGCATACATATCGCTGTTTTCGTAAAATTGACACTTGAAATGGTTTAATTTATAGATATTTTTGTGATACATTTAAGCACAGTCGTCTACAAGGTTAGCTTTTTAAAAAAAAGCTGAGGGTCAGCCACTGGAATACAGAAAGTTTCTCTCTTGTTTTGTAATGGTTTATGATTTGATCTATATATCATGTTGTGTTCCTTAAATGTAATAAATGCCATTGTAAGAAAGTTAATTATTTTTTTAATGCTGCACATTATAAATAATAAAGCATAGAATAAATTTTAGTCTGCATCGTGATCATTACAATGATCTACAATAATTATATAAATTCTCTTCGGCTCAGACATCAGAGAAAGTTCATCTCATACCGGTAAATGAACAATTAAAAGCCACCATGGCATATAAGATCACGTTAAATTCTATAAAAATGATATAGATTACGATGAATAAAGGGAAGGTAGACTTTGTGTTAGATTGTTTTTAAATATTATCAAATAACAGTTTTCAGTTGTGCATTTCGAGGCAATGCATGATGTGGAAGAGGGGGGAGCATACTGCATATATATTTAACTCAATTTCGAAGTTTGAGCATCCATTTTAGTGTTATTAGGAAAGAAAAGAATTGCTTCCCAAACAGTAATGAACGCCACAGAAAACAATTCAAAATATGTTTATACATGCAGTACGTATACATAAAATGTCTTTGATGATGTACGTCTACCATCATAGCAAAACTATAGATTAAAATACTGGAATCCATCCTCCCCCTCTCCTTTCATTGGGGTGTGTGTGTGTGTTGACCCTGTCTATAAATCAGCACAGTTCTCTCAGCTATCGCATTTCCACTGCGGTCAATTTCTTAAATGTGGGCGCGGTTCACGTGCACAAGCGGACTTGCACGTCCATCACCATACTGTCTTACGCTGATCTTCTGATGTTTTCATAACTTCTAGGCCTATCATTAGAGTGAAAAAATTGATCGTTCATTTTTTCACTATTTTGGGACCTTTGTGGCAAGTGGATTGTTGTGTGAATTCCGACCCGTACATGTCTTATGCAAGGTATTGAATATTGATCGAGAGAGTCTTGCATCAGGCATCGAGAGGAATACACAATTTAAATCTTCGGCTTGCAATGGCGATTGAGGGAATGAATATACTTATTTTTCTGTTAGAAGCAATGAAATATTTTCATAGTATGATTTAAAAACTGACAAATATCCCATCTAGAAGCTGTACAGTCGTCATAAATTTTCTTCGAGAACGACGAAGAACAATGCAGTCTATAAATAGATCGAGATCGTGAGTGTGCGTGAAGAAGCACGCCCTCTGGTTGGAGAATTTGTGCAAATCTTTTTTCCCAGATATCCGATTAACGCAAGCGCACTTGCAGTTTCATCCTAACGTAACTAGTCAGCCCGGGGGCTGACTAATAACCATCGACATTTGCTTTATTAAGTTGTTCTAATTTTCAAGTGAAAGTCTCAGTACGTCACGCGTGAACTGTCATGGCTGCTTCTGGTAAACACGCAGATATATTTTACATGGTTTACGAATTTAGCGGGCTATGTTGTTAACATTAAATAAAAATTCCGTCTTCTAAGAAGTAAGTTAAATGTAAAAATAATTAATTTTGCCTTCAATCGCCCGTATTTAAAAAATATTTTTGCACCATTACGGAGATGCGATGGACAAGCCTAGTATTCCGACGGTCCGATAGTCCGACAACCCAGTAGTCCGACGGTCCGATAGTCCGACATCCCAGTAGTCCGACGGTCCGATAGTCCGACAACCCAGTAGTCCGACGGTCCGATAGTCCGACAGCCAAGTAGTTGGACGGTCCGATAGTCCGATGGTGCGGTAGTCCGAAATTTTTACCATCACCAATATTGTAAAGAGTTAAAATTAATCCTATCAGACATCATTTCAAGGAAATTACGAAAAACCACCAAACCGACAGGGTCTGATCATGTAAATAAATCAGACAGCTTCTTACAGAAGCTTTTAAAGCGTGAACCTAAAATCAGTTAAACCGAGCGTATTGCATGCACATGAAGTACAGGCAAATAATTAAATGACCTTTATCAAAGCAGGGAAGTATGGGGCACCGTTTTTTAATTTTTGAGGTATTTTTTTTTATATCAAAAAACCATTTTGTGATATGAGAAATTTGAGTGATTTTTTTTTATATCAAAAAATTCATTTTCTGATATAAAAAATCCTCGGGATTTATGATCTCAAAAAACGTAATTTTTGAATAAAAAATTCGAATTCCTGATATCAAAGAATTGATTTCTATGATGCGCCGTTTTTATATTTTTGAGGTTTTTTTCTGATATCCAAAAAAAAAAATCTTCATATCAATTAATTTGAATTCTTGATATAAAAAATATTTTTTGATATCAATAAATCAATTTCTGATATTAAAAAATTCGAATTCTTGATAACAAAAAAAATTTCTTAATGAAGGACGTGAAGATAACGAACAGTATTCAATCTCAATCTTAAACAATATACAAAATAAGTGCAGAGCAAACACGGACCTCCGAAACATCAGAGGTGGGATCAGGTGCCATGGAGGAGTAAGCATCCTCTGCTGATCGGTCACACCCGCCGTGTGCTCGTTGTCATGATCAGGAAATAACGTAAAAAGATCTGTCGTCTATTCAGTGTATAAATAATGGACTAACAATCTGTATGAAAAACATCAGTCAGCATTTGACTCAATGATAAATTGTATTTGCTGACAAGGTCATTGTATCGACCATAGAACTTACAAAATGATGACTTTAAACGAGACTGTTGATATTCTTGTTTCATCAACTTGCTTGTCAATAATTTACCTCGTTTAAGAAATTGTTCATACGTAGAGCATGCTCTTGCGTATCGAATCAACTGAGATAGATATACTCCGTTTGCAGTTGATGAAGGTATATTGTTATACCCTTATAAGTATCATTCTATATAGTTATTACTAATAAAAAGTCCAACAAAAGAACTGTTTATTACAACGGTCTAACAATTTCACTATTGACCGGTCTTACATAAGAATTGTTAGACCGCAACGTCACTCTTCTGTTATTTACGAGTTGATGGACATTTTCACCTTCAGGTCAACTCAGTTATGTAAGGCAAGTTGACGATAGAAAAGTTAATATCAGAAATTCAAATTTGTGATATCAAATGTTGACCTAATTTTTATACCCCCGACCAAAGAACACACCTCGTTTATTCAGTTCCTTCTACTGATGAAAAATTGTATCACATCTTTTTACAGGCGTTTTTAGAAACTCCACATAAATAAAAGCACACCTCGAACATATATATTGAAGACATATATATTGTCAATGTTTCTTTTTTGAAAGGAAATTTATTTTAAGTATACACAATAACATTTTCATTGACATGCCTTATTGTGTCGGTCCGACAAAAAAATAGTGCATTTTAAACCCCCGAAGAATGAAAGTGTATTTCGTCACTTCTCATATTCCTATATGTGCATATATGCCTTGTCGATTTTTAAAATTTTCAAACTAATTGCATAAGACATTGGTTAATTTTTCTGTGCCAAGTTCGTTGGGATTTATACAAATGGCACATTAGGCCTAACATAGAGATCGAACTACTTTTTCATATTCATACGCACCATGCTACTTTGCTTTGTAAACAAAAACACGCAAAATCGGCAGCACAACAGTGACTTCAAAAGAAATTGACGGGACTGTGGAGGCTTACTATATAGTGGAAATTTTTAGAAGGTACGTAAACATGGTAAATGTAAATACATGTAAATTTAAGTATAGTTGGACGTGTTGCCCTGAAATATAAACTTAGCCAGTAGTTTATCGATAGGACTTCGTATGGTACCGACCGAGTAAACATTAGCGCCACCTTGTTTTTGCGGCTTTAGGGGCCTGATTCTATATAAATTTTTCTTTGTGTTTTGTCCGCAAAAGTAGCTTCCATTGTGGTAATGAGGCAACTGCCTCACTAGAAATATTATTTCAAGTCTTTGAAAACACACAAAACAGCAGTCGTGCGACAGGACATGCCATTGAAATTTCAAAACAGCAGTCGTGCGACAAGACATGCCATTGAAATTTCGTCTAGATTTCCACTTTCTTGAGAGAATCGGTCATGTTTTAGTGAAAATCGAATGAATATTTTTCTGAATGCAATGATACGAAACGAAATTATCCAAGATAATATTTCTACTTGTTGTATCATACGAAAAATACGATTCCAACGAAGCATCTGTTGGAACGACACCATTTTTATTTTAGCCAGGAGCGGATCAAAATCCACCACACGCACCTGTTCATAATAAATCTGGAATAAGTTTTTTTTAATTGATTTATGTTTACTCATATCGCTTCAGAAAAATATAGACCACTTTTTTAATGTAACATAACAGGGTGAAAGTGTCTAATTTATTAATTTTCATTATAAAATTAAAAAAAAAATCGTAAATGGGAATATGTGAAAAAAAAACACATGTTCTGGATGACATGCGAGTACAAAGGCATCCTGTGTCATAAAACTGTGGAATTAACAATTTAAGATGTAAGAAAAAATAAAGATCAGATCGAGATTTTGATGATCTTAAAGATGATTATGTTGATGATGTCAAGGGCTCAAAAAAGAAAAAGACAAAATTTTCTGGAAAATATCAGGTTCAAAGAAAAATTGTCAAAGCAAGTCTCAGCTATTACTTGCATTGCAGCAGATATGCATCAAGCATGAAACAATTTCTCAGAAGATAGTAGAGGTAGACAGTGTACGTGTTGCTAATGCACTTGTAAGCATTTTGTATAAAGAAGTGGTTTGAATTCCTACAGACGATTGAATTCAAGTGATCTAAATTTATTGCTCTGGATAAGATGATGATTTACATTTAAGATGTCATAATAAATAAAATACTCTTCAAATCTTACATTTTACTTGCTATTTTATATGTTGTTTTAATTTAGAATTTAAAATTTGTTATTTTTCTAGAAGTATTAACCATAAGGGCCAGAGAGCATAATGGTTCCTGGAAGGATTTGTTTACAAAACCTTTTTCACTGCTTCTGGAGGTTTGTTGGTTAATTTCTCATTCCGGAGAAATTTAACTCCATCACTACCATGTTGGGGGTTCCCTAATGCCAGATAACATCTCCAGGAAAGCAAAGAGGTACTTTTAAAATGTCATAATAAATAAAATGCCCTTCAGATCTTCAATTGTACTTGTTATTTATATGTCGTTTTAATGATAATGTAAAATATTTTATTTTTCTAGAGGTATACACCACAAATGGCAGAGCATAAAGGATGGCTGGGAGATTTGATAAACTTACTGTTGTAGGAGAACAATTTCAAGCATTGATATATATTAGAAAATTGTGCTGTCAGTCTTTTGTATGACTTGGAGGACAAGCTTCCCCTTGAAAACTGGAACAAATGTGAAATGAAGAATGTGTATCTTCATATTGAGAACTTTTCCTTGTAAAATCACCTCTGGGAAAAAGTTTATTTCATATCAATTTATTGTGTTCATTATCTGGTCTAATTTTATATTTGTAATTGTTTTAAAATTGCATGGCGAAACACATTTTTGCTCACCTGAGTCAAAAGCTTAAATGAGTTTTTTGATCCGATTTCTTTGTTGTCTGTTGTGTTGTAAACTTGTTACAACTTAATTTTTGTTCAAATGATGCCCCTTCCCCCCTGGGAGCTTGAGACCATTTATAAAGTTAAACTTCTCAAAATGGAACTGATATCTTCTTTTTTTCAAGCCAAGACACTCAGGTGATGTACAAAGTATGTACTTTGAAGTGACATCAATTAGAAGCAATATCATTTTTAAACCGCAGTTTGATAGCAGAAATTTTATTTTCAAGAAAATGTTGGAGGCATATGTTTATTTATATCATATTAATTTCATGTTTGTGAATTTCAAAACCGATTTCAGCTACAATTTACATTGGAAAAAAATGCAGTTGTCCAACTTGTGTCTATTGTGTGTCATGAAAGAAAAATCTTACAGCTTATTGTGATATGCAACAAATATTTTACCGTGACCATGTGTTTTTGCAACAGTTGTAAAGTGTATATGCTCAAGAATATAATTATTAGTTTTCTCCTGTGTCCCAAATATAACTGTGTTAGTACTTTGATTTATGTAGCATTTATTTGTAAATCAGGGTCCTGTGTAAAACTTCTGATATTAAGATTACACACATTTTGCATTCTTAATGCTTGTTACACTTGTGAGAAAATTATGAACACAATTGTGACGGCGACTTTCTCTTTCTAAAAAAAAAATCATTTTCTTGTATTTTCCTGTATATTGTGCTTTTACACATTCAAACTGGAAGACTGCAATGTTAAAAAAATCTAATATGATAAGTATAACAATAGTAATTGTCAAATTGATAATGAAAAGTATTTTAGCTCACCTGAGCCGAAGGCTCAAGTGAGCTTTTCTGATCACATTTTGTCCGTCGTCCGTCCGTCTGTAAACTTTTCACATTTTCGACTTCTTCTCAAGAACCAATGGGCCAATTTTCACCAAACTTGGCACAAAGCATCCTTGGGTGATAGGAAGTTTTAAATTGTTGACATGAAGGGCCAAGTCCCCTTACAAGGGGAGATAATCAAGAAAAGACAAAAATAGGGTGGGGTAACTAAAAATCTTCTTATCAAGAACCACTGGGCAAGGAAAGCTGAAACTTATGTGGAAGCATCTTTGGGTAGTTAAGATATTTAATTGTTAAAATCATGACCCCCATGGGTAGGGCGGGGCCACAATAGAGAATCCAAGTTTTACATAGAAATATATAGAACAAAGCTTTAAATATCTTCTTCTCAAGAACCACTGGGCCAGGAAAGCTGAAACTTATGTGGAAGCATCCTTGGGTAATGTAGATATTAAATTGTTTAAAATCATGACCCCCGGGGGTAGGGCGGGGCCACAATAGGGAATCCAAGTTTTACATAGAAATATATAGAACAAAGCTTTAAAAATCTTCTTCTCAAGAATCACTGGGCCAGGAAAGCTGAAACTTATGTGGAAGCATCCTTGGGACTTGGGTAGTGTAGATATTAAATTGTTGAAATCATGACCCCCGGGGGTAGGGCGGGGCCTCAATAGGGAATCCAAATTTTACATAAAAATATATAGAACAAAGCTTTAAATATCTTCTTCTCAAGAACCACTGGGCCAGGAAAGCTGAAACTTATGTGGAAGCATCCTTGGGTAGTGTAGATATTAAATTGTTTAAAATCATGACCCCCGGGGGTAGGGCGGGGCCACAATAGGGAATCCAAGTTTTACATAGAAATATATAGAACAAAATTAAAAATCTTCTTCTCAAGAACCACTGAGTCTGGAAAGCTGAAACTTATGTGGAAGCATCCTTGGGTTGTGTAGATTCTAAATTTTAAAAATTTTAAAAATCATAAAAGGGAAGGGGGTAGTAGGCATCATAGGTAAAGAAAGAGAGGGAATCTGGTAAAGAACTGCATCACCGAAGTTACTCTGGTGAGCGATGTGGCCTATGGGCCTCTTGTTTTAACGAGATATTACTTTTGCTGTATCCACATTAAGGACATTCAGATACTGTTGTACCATGATACACTGTAGGTATGAAAGAGCGTTTCATTTCATTTGTTAAAATAGGGCACTAATACACAATAAATGTATAATTATAATGTAAAAAGAAATGCTTTCCTTATTATTTCACATGACATTATTTGTTTATGGGATTTAATAATACAGTGCATCATCTCATGAAATTGACATCAGAAATCAAATGGAAGTCTAAATTTCTGCAATTTTTAAATGGCAATTTCATTTCCTTATCAGTAAAGCAGTGTTCAATTTATAAGCTTGAACAACCATCAACTCGTATCAGTACTTTCAGCACTTTGATTTCTTTTTTATTGGCTTAACTCTAGCTTACAATCATCAAACTTGGACAATTTATACATCTTGGGTAGACAGTGTGTCACGACCTATTACAAGGTCATTATGACCTTTAATTTAAGTAATTAAAAAAAAAATAACTCTTTAAAATTTTAAATTTCATAATCCTAAAAAATGTAAAAATATAGTTGTATCCTTATTAAAAAAATGCTAAATTAAGTAAAAACTTATTTTTTATCATATACTTTACAGCAAATTCTGTAACAAATGTTAATGATTTGAAAGGAATTCAGTTTGTCCCATGGGCACAATTATCAAGCACTGGTCAAGGAGAAATTTTGATAGCAGAAATGTGCATGTCAAATTAGAGAGAAATTAATGAGTTCATTGTCGGGAGTTAACTAACAAGAGCATCATGCTGTGTTATCTTAATTTATCTCTTGGGAGTTGGGCAAAAAGAAATGGCCTTATAGTTGCTTGTGTTGATTAAGAGTTCTTGATGGCTGTAGTTTAAATAAAGATCATTCAATTGGT